ATTTTTTTTTGTTTTTTGTTTTTTTTGGAAGTCAGTGAAGACCAGGACTTTGTAGGAACTTGGAACATACTCACCTTCTTTCAACCGTTCCTAAAAAGAAAATAGAAATAAAAAGATTTGAAACACCGGGAAAAGAAAAACGACATACCACAGACTCAAACGAAACAACATCAGCAAACCAACCTTTGCACGTGTAAGAAAACACACACTTCATGATACTTACAACTTTCTTTTCTTCTTCATCAGAGTTATCTGGGCTTGTATCCTCCCCGGAGGAATTTGAAATAGAATCTCTTTCATCATTCTGATGCATGATTCTTCAGTATTTTCCCTTTTCTCGTGAAGAGAAACAGCCACAAGACGTACACAACATCCAAACTCACTCAGCTTAGTTCGCCATATTGGACGCGTACATTTGGGGAAACTGGAGAGCAAATTGCTTATAGTTGCCCCAGGTCTCTCGCAATCACATGGAACGCCTGGCATAGAACTTCGAACGAACGACTGTGTTTATTGCGTTTATTATTTCCACCTTCCGTCTAATCGTATATCATGCTAAGCAATGGCAATTACTAGCATTTACGAATGGATTGCTTTAAGAGAGAATTCAAGCGATATAAGCAGCGTCAGCCTCCGCCTGATCTGTCCGAAGTGATTGACTTCGCTGAACCCGAGGCACAAGCTTTCAAGAAATGGGTGAAGTTTTTAAGCTAACATTTTGAGCTTACTTACTACTTTTGAACTTAATAGTTTGAAATTTCTTAGAAAAACAAACTATCATTACCTTTTCTGCTCCCCCGACAGTTTAATTAAGTGACTGAAGAGTGTTCATTCTTGAAAGAGAAATAACACGATTTTGAAGAATCTGGAAGTTAAAATATCGTACCCAGATCTCACTCAAGTAGTGCATCAAACAGCGCGAGATAGGGTGTTTGAAAAAAAGTGGTTGTGTTTCCTTTGAGAAAGTTAACTATGGTTTTAATTTAAATGTCCTAGCTGAACTGAAATTGATAGCTGAAATAAATGTACATGTAGNCGAGATAGGATGTTTGAAAAAAAGTGGTTGTGTTTCCTTTGAGAGGGTTAACTATGGTTTTAATTTAAATGTCCTAGCTGAACTGAAACAGATAGCTGAAATAAATGTACATGTAGAACAAAGCACCATAAATCCCCCACACTTTAGGAAAATGATCTACACTTTGGTAAACAATGTATGATACTGGATGATTTCTGCTCTGATTGGACATTACTGATAAATTAATGTAAGGACCTGAATCACAAGATATATCAACTGAATGCAAGGGAAGACAAATTCATAGGTTTTTAGCCCGATGGGACCATGATGAGTCCTGACAACTCAACAATCCCAACTTAATAATACTGTTTGTTGTTCTCTCTTTTGACAGGTCTTCTCATCAAGGATACAAATTTCAGATTTAGAAGGAGCTTGTGACATGGGATTGAGGCCATGTAAAGAATGGTGTGTTTATGACATTCATGGCCGTCCAGGTAGTTTTGCATGGTTGGCTTTTGATTTTCAATCTTTGAGCAGCTTGATTTTGAGCTCAGTCATGGTTTACACAATCCGTGTCAGTCTTTGCCATCCATGGCCATCCTTGTTCCTTTATGGTTTCTTATTATCTCCTTGATGTTTTTCTATCTTAGTAAACTATTATTTTCAGGTTTCCNCAAGCATAAGAGGTTTTTCGCAGTCATGTTTTTAGCAGCTGTACAGTTAAAAACAAAGTTCGGACAAGAAATTAGAGAAAAAGGAAGAGAATTGATTGTTAATGGTTAGGTCAACTCGTAACTTAATTTTTTCTTGTTTTCATTTTTTTTAATGTGGTGAAGCAGTTGATTCCACACTGTTGGGTGGAAATTGAGGACCCGTTTAACTACCTTAGATTTTGCAATGTATACCACAATGCAAGATGTTTAATAATTTGGACAAAGCTCAGGGGCAGATCTAGGGGGAGGGTGCAGGGGGTGTGCACCCCCCTGAGATGAAGCCTTCTTCTTCGTATTTGCTTTGAAAATTTGTTTACCTCACCATTCAGTTACGCCATTCCTTAGTGGTGCACCCCCTCCTAAGAAAAATCCTGGATCCGCCCCTGAAGCTGACTGTGAGTCATGATGGTTAAGGACACCGGACATTAGATTGAGTAGAACAGGTTCAAACCCTAGTCAGGGAGATTTTGGATTCTGTTCTTGGACACGACACTCTCACAGTGCCTCCTGCACCCAGTTGTATAAATGGGTCCCAGCAAATCTAATTGTGGGCGGTACATAATCTTATTCTTGGCTTGTCCAGGTAACAACTGAGTTGCGTTTTTTTTTTTTATTTTCATCTTTTCAGACCTACAGTAAAACAAGACACACGGAGTTTCCACCTGATTTAGGGAAACTTGTTGAATTTATTGCTACAGCTCTTCAATTTCCAAGGTAAAATTTGGTGGTAAATTTAGGTAAAATTTGGGCAAGGTAAAATTTGTAAAATCCTTAGGTGGTACTCCTGAAAATTTTCTATTTTTCGGACCTGACTTCAAAATTCGATACCCGGTTTATATATCTCAGGAACGGAACCAAGAGTCAATTTTTTGTTTATGTAAAGCTGGAATTCATTTCCAACAATTTTCAACAAGAGTGAGCCGCGTTTTCACTGCAACATAAGTCGCTGCTGGTTCTGCTTGTGGTTGTGTTGAGCACGTTCTCACTACGGTTATGCTTATGTTTGGGCTTATGCTTATGTCGAAGTGAAAACCAGGCTTGAGCGTTAACATAAAATGTTGTAACTTTAGCAAGACTTCTTAGCCTGTCAAAGACAATACAGTTGAACGTACAACGCTTGGATATATCTTCTGCATTTTTTTTATAATGTTCAACTTCTCACATCTCAGCCCGTGTTGTCCAACACACGGTCCAACACACAACGTCTTGACAAATCTTTGCTGTGGTTTGTGAACTTCTCAGCCAATCAAATAGCAAGCAACAGCTTGGCTTACGACTAGCAAATAGTCGGTCCACAGACCTCTATTTTTCCTTGCATTTGCGTTTAGCGGAATATTTACCCGACGCGTGTAATACACGCGCTAAAACGCAAGGTGGTGTATCAAATATTCATGCCATAACTGTAAATTGTGTACTTGTCTTGTCAGCTTTAAGCCAGAGGCAGGAATAATTAACTATTACCATTTGGACTCCACTCTATCTGGGCACACTGATCACTCAGAATTCGACCTCACTGCCCCTTTATTCTCCTTGAGGTGAGTCGAAGGAAAATTTCGAGCTGTGTTTTGCTGAAAAAGGGAACACGCAAAATTCAAACAGTGCCCTGTTCTTCTTTGCAGCTTTGGCCAATCAGCGATCTTCCTTCTTGGCGGGAAAACGCGGGATCAAGTACCGCTGGCAATGTATCTGCGCAGTGGAGATATCATGATTATGGCGGGAGATTCACGCCTGGCTTACCACGCTGTGCCGCGAATTTTGGCGCCAAAGAAGCGCACAGGCGAGGCAGCGTTACCTGCATGTTTATCAAGAGGAGAAGAAGAAACAAGCGCACACTGTAGTGAGGAGATTGCCATCCTTGAACAATACCTCACTACTTCAAGGATAAACGTCAACGTCAGGCAGGTTTTAGGACCGGGAAAAGAATTTCCATTCGATGATCACGAGGGAAATAGATGATGGAAAATAATTCTTGTCTAAGGAATGAGGTCTTTTAAGAGAAGAAGAAACATAGGTATAATAGACAGATCGGCTAATGTGTAAACATTCTTTTTGCCACTCATTTCAGGTCATGTGATGTTTCACGTGAGAGGTTCAATGCAATCAGTTGTGTGTGACAAATTGCACAGTGGTAACCTCCGAAATGAATCATCACGTGATCTGAATTGGTTAGCAACAAAGATGTAAACACGTTAGGGAATCCGTCTATTGATGAAAAATGACGAGCCAACGATGTTGTCTACTCGGGCCGCTGTTTAACGCCGTCGTGAACAGTCGACTAAAAAGCTCCGACTCTTTTCACAGTCTAACGACCTGCTGGGTTTGAGGCAATAATTTGGAGTAAACACTCAGGAAATTAATTTTATTTATGATTCTTCTGCGCGCATCTGTCCGTGATCTCTTCATTGATCACATCACTGTCAAGAGGTGGGTGTCACGCATTTCACGCGCATGTTGTCGATGAACTTATTTGTAATCTTTTTGATGAAAATATCAGCCGTTGAAAAGGAAAGTTAAAGTACGCTCATACTTATTAATAAAATTAATATAAATATCTTAATTGACCACTCCCGCAATGTAAATGATGAAACAAATAATGCAAATGAACATAACAGGGTTAAAAATACCAATTGGCAGGGGGCAGACCGGACTTCGTTGGATTGTTACATTTGGGTTACAGATATTCTATATTGCTAGTTAAGGAGTAATTTTGACAATTTTATAAGCGTGTTTTTTTGCATTCAAATGAGAATAATGTGAACCGCGCGCGCCACTAATTGTGTCATAAACATGTGCATACTAGAACGGTTTTCAACTGATTGTCGTAAAACCGAAACTAAACCAGTAACTTAGCAATTAGACTACTCAGCCAATCTCAAATCGCAGTAAAACCAACACCAAAGTAATTGTCTGATTACTTTCGACACTCAATTGAAAAGTGCTCTATGACGTCTGTTAAACAAATTAATTGCATGAGACAAGCTCGTGCGCAATTCAATCCACACCAGGTCTATTCTGCCAGGACTTCGTGCATTGCGATATGGCAAAGAAATTATTTGTGGCGTTTTTTAGTCTTTTGGTCATATTGGAGATGACAGCAAGTTTTTCTGTTTTCCCTTACCACACTGATCAATCCGAGCTGGAATCTGGAGCCGAGTCCAAGAAACCTCAAGATCAGAGAATACCCGAAGCATTTGCGCAAGGAAAGCGGGACGTTTTATTAGCGTTTGCCAGGATTCAAAGATCATCCAAACCAGCGCGTGATTATGATGTTCACAGTCACAAACATGCCGGGCACAGCTTGTCCCATCTTCATTTGTCGAAAGATCAAAGCAAAACTTCAAACTCGAAAAAGGGTGCGGCCAACCGCAAGAGTCCTAAATTCATAGCGATCTCTATCTTCTTGGGATGTTTGGCGTTCATGTCTCTGGCATTTGCTATAGCGTGTTGTGTGCACCGCAGGAATCAGAGCGAGCGAGTCAAGAAAGCGACTGAGGTCGATGTGCGATCACGTGAGGATCTTCCAAATCAGGTCAGCAAGATTGAAAATGCGCACGTGGATGTGGGTAGCTATTAAGTCTTTTCGATTGGACAAGGCGACCTGCTGTCTTCCATTTCTTTCAACTGGAGATCACAAACTGTCTTTTACAACTTTCTTAGTGATTTTTTTTTGTGTTTAGCTCTAAAGTTGAGAGCAAATATCCATTCAAAAACTATTTGCCAATCGGTCTGTTTTTAATTCCTTACACGTTATTACGCTAATAATGGCTTCGCAGGCTCAACAAAATAAATATTCCACAAATCAAATGTTGCGAGTTTAAAGACAGTTGTCATTCTGTTGCCATTAGAATTTAAATGTGTGAAGTGTTTTCTTATGGCGCGCTAATCAATCGAGGAAAGCGGTTTCGGGTGACCACTTGCAAAGATGAAACTAATCCAAGGCAGCTGCAGTCAAACGCGGCTTTCTCCCAGGCCATCCCCGTCAACCCGTTCCGGCGACGTAGCCGAGACGAACGGTCAGGACCATGTACTAGAAACCGAGTGACCGCGGCCAGATATTTAGGCCTTGGAACTAGGCTATTCCAGAATAAAGGTGGCGTAGGTTATTCATGATTTTGGTCTGAGAATCCAAATATCTGGGTAGTGAGCCGAGCCGGTGATCCAGAGTTATTTTATTTGTTTTCAAAATGCTTTCTTTAGTTAAGGTAGCAAACGAGTACCGGTAAATTGCTAAGGTAACGTGACAAAACCGAATAGCATCGGCCATCCAGGGGGGAGTAGCTGGACATTCTGTTGACAACGTAATGGAATGTCGAAAAACCCTGGGAATTTGAAGTTTAAAGTTTTTTTTTTTTATTTTGTCGATAAGCTACCTATGGAGACTTTCTTTGAGTTCCTCGCTCAGTCTTTCTTCGAAGAGCACACGCGACGAGTCTAATTCGAAATCCTGTGAAGTGGGCTATTTACAAGCCTTTGAATTCACGCCTCACCCTAAGGCATGACTTCTCAGCTCTCAGAGAAGTTGCGGAAAGAAGTCACTGTGATATGTAAAAAACTGCTGCTTCTGCGTGCCAAGAACCGTCGTCTCTCCTTGATGTGACGTCTTTTCAGTTCCTCGACGATTTCACAAAACCTTCTGTGAAAGTTGTTCACTTCTTGACGCATTTCTCGTCGTACAGTCGCGAGATGGTTGTAATGGTCTGTGTAATATAAGCATAATTAATTATGTTAATGATAGATTGAGGGCAGTCTGTCTCAGTTTAAGTTTATTAACATTATTTTTGTCATGTTCCATCGGCCAAGTGCATTGATAAAGTGAACTATGTATAAGTTTAAGTTTACTAAATTAATATTATTTTTGCCACAAAATAAATTAAAATAAATTAACAAATATCAAATCTGTGAGGCAAGGAAAGGCTTATGTAAAGAACTACTTAAGTTAGAGATCTCAAAGACTGCGATTCGCGACGTGCTTCATCCAATCCCTTCCTTTCTAGATGCGATTCACAATGTCCTGAGAAGTCAAGTCCTTCCGGATCTATAGTAAATATAGGTGACAGACCGGGGGAGCTGTGATGGTGGTGGAGGGGGTGGGGTTACGAGATGTAAACATCTGCTTATGGTATGTCCCCTTACAGTGTGGGTATTACCATCAATAAAAAAGACCAGGGACGCGCTGAATCATGCACACTGTCGTGTTTGTCGGTCGGTTTCTTTTCCCTTCCAACATAAGTTAAGATTAATTTTCTACTTACCTATGCTATTTGAACGTCGTTTTGATGTCCAGTGTATATGATAAACCAGTCCACAAAGAACAGCCACAGCAAAGAGAGCCAACAGGAAGAAAACACTCAAACGGAACTGGTAAGCGCTGGGGTCAAAAAGTCCACCGCTTACATCCTCGACAGGATCCTCTGCAATGGAGTCTTCGTAAGTCTGGAATAAATTAATCGTATATCATTACTCAGTACACACAGGTCCTTACTCTTTGAGGCTTGTCACTCAACACGTTGATTAAACGGAAAAACGCGGTAAACGAAGAGTTTTCAGGGCTTATGAGCTTGTTATACTTCCTGGTTCAAAGCGTTTTGGGTCTTACAATCTGTTTGGAAAAGTGTTCCTCAGTGCGTCGTTGATGTTCTACAAATTATATATACGAGTTTGAGAAACTCGAAAATTATGTAATGAGACTGCTTTTATTTTACGTGGACTCGGGACTGTTCTTCGCCAGCCATCAACCTTTAGAGAAGACTTTTTGTTAGAAAAATAGACAGAGAGGAAAGAAAAGGAAAAGAAAGAAAAAAGTTGCTCAAACTAAAACAGAGCAAGCAGGAAGTTGCTATGCATGGGTTTCACAAAATTAACTTTTAAATTACCATTGGCCTCTTTACTGTTTGTTCTATTTTGTGAAAGATGTCTCCCTTGTTCAGTTTAACAAAGTCAAGGAAGCACTTCTCTAGCTTCATAGAGACCCCTGCCAGCACTACTCCGTACGTCTTTTGATAGTCATACACGTTGAACACCCGCAGCTTAGGATTGGAGGAGAGATCCTTGTGGGTAGAGACGACGTACAAGTCAATAAGAGCACCTTCTACTTCTTTGTTCATCATCGCTCTGTTGATCTCCTTGTATGTGTGATACTGCTGACCTGTAAAACAAAAGGAAACCCTCAGGTACGAGACGACCACCAACTTGTTTAAAGCGCAAATGTCTGTGACAAAAGTTGAAGCCAAGGGTTACCGTCCGTTGTCTAAAAGACCTACTCGAGGACGAAATTGGTGACGGTAACACGCGTGACCTGAGTACCACTTGTAGGTTGATGCGTGCATGTTCAAAAACGAGGCCTAGTGCAAAACGTTTCAGTTGAAATGGGTTTGATTTGCAAGAAAATGAACGCGCAGGTTAAACATTGGTTTTGCATGAAGATTCGTTTTCACGTAGATATACAGGCAATGGGCAACTGTATTCCCTGATACCATGCCAGGCAATTCAAACTGTGAAGGAAATTCTGATTATCATTAAATAATAATGGTATATAGCGTATGTACCTGGATTCATACGCGCTGTCTTGCGCACACCAAGTGTGTATTCCGGTGACGCCTGAATGGCTCCAATCTAAAGAACAAATGTTCGTTAATTTTGGAGGATCTCTGACACCAACGACGCCATGCTTGTGCAAATATAACTGTTGGAATTTTGTAAACTACCTACGTTGCTGAGGTATTTTATTGACACTTTTTTTACTCCGATTCAGCCTGGAGAGACGGCCGGCGTTTTGAGGCCCTCACAAATTTTGAACGCTTGTAACTCTACCAGCTTTGAAGTAGTAAATAGCTCTATAGCAACCTTTTTAACAACCTTTTCCTCGACAAATTAGATGACTTTCTAAAATTTATCGGGAAACAAGTTGTTAAAAGTACATGCCGTTGTACGTTCAAGGAACTTGATGTTTATGCAACCGACAATTGTAGTTTGATAGCCTTGTTTTGATTCCAATTTTAGATTTTCCAGGTTCAACTTTTACTTTTTTGTTGGATAAATTAAGTCTTCTTTACCAGTTTTGACTATTTTAAGCCTGTTTTGGTGGTTTTCTGGCGTTTTGTAATTATCATGCAATCTAAGATGGCGGATCAGATAAGATTGAGTCGTCCAAAATCGTAATAGGCGATTTGCGTGATGGAGTCGTTTGACTAAAACTACCAGAATCCTTCAATTCTTCTGTTTCTTGTGCTAATTAGGGCAATTGTTATTTAAACCCCACTGGGACTTCAAAATTTAAATAATAAAGAAAAAACGAAAGGAATTCTGGTAGTTGTAGTCAAATGACGACAACGTGCAAATCTACTATTAGTCCCAGTTACACTAAAATGTTTTACATCAGGCATCGTTTCGAAAGCGAGAGAGGGATTTACTCGGAATGGCCTGTTGTTTGTGAAGTGAACTACCTTAACGCCAGATATTTTCTTATTCGCGGTCTGAAGCACTGAGTATGACACAAGAGCACTAGTCATCTCAGCTACGAGAAATGACATGATGACGAGGCCAACTAGGGTCCAGGCTATGGCGAAGAGCCGTCCCAGAAAGCTGCGAGGAACCTTGTCGCCATAACTAGAAACCAAATAAAAAAAATATTAACAATATATCACCAGGATGCCGGTGCCTCCAATTGGCTTGACGCAAAGCTTCGAGTAAGCTATCAGAATTTATAAAAAATGAACATTATTTTGGTATTCGATATTCTGTTTTTAATAATTAGCCACTGAGTTATACTAACTCAATAAGCCATTTCTTAGTTACTGTTACCTCTGTTTCAAAACGAGTCTTGGTGCACAACCTTTCACATTGAAATGATTTTTTCTTGCACGTTCATTGACTTGCACCAGGACTCGCTGAGAAAAAGAGGTAAAAGGCAACTCGAAAATGGCTTATTAGAGGGCTCCCCAATTTTGTGGTTATGTCAAATTCATAAAAATCTACAAAATAAATAATATTATTAGAAATTTGAATGTGCTATATTAGCTGCTTAAAATCGGCTCATAAGCTGGGTTTTCCTCTCAGTTGAGTCCTCATTTGTCAATTTTCTTTTTTAACCAACTCGTCCATTGGCCAATTATAATTTTTTTTTCCCGACACCTATATATAGTAATTTCCTTACCCTACTGTGGTGCACGTAATGTAAGCCCACCAAAAACCTGCCCATAATCCTCGAGTGAATAATGTTGGAAATTCCTCGGGGCTAGCAGAATATTCCTGTCAAATGGGAAATATAAAAGAGGAAAAAAGTTGAAAAAGGAAATGAGAAAATTCGGCTAATTCAATATTAACAGAAATAATGAAATTTACCGCTTAGAAATGATTGTGTTCTCTTTGCTTTATTGGAAAACTGTCAAACTTTCGTTCACCTTTTAAGGAGATGTGTTTTTATTAGGACCCAGAACAATCATGGACAATCATGATTCTACATGTATAGCTGAGGGAGTGGGTGGATAATAAACTTATTTCGTTTCCGTGCAATCGCCCCAGTACACCACTCTCCTCTCCCATGAATACACACTTCCTCGTCTCTCTCTCGAGTTTTTTCACAGACATTTTTGAAAAGTCATGACAGAATGTCACGGAGATCAACAAATTAGCTAAATAAGGGTTACAAATAAAGAGGCAAATGAATTAAGGGCTTGTTCGGAAGGGGCACTGCAAACATTCGGCTCACATACGTTCAACACTTACCAGTGCCCACAAGACCGTCCCGGCCAGCAGCACCATCAGTAATGTCAGGAGCAACATCGGGAAACAAGCGGTGCCAACACGTATCACAGTATTAGCTTTCTCTTCCGCTGAAGGTAAAGGTGCGACGAGAGCCACCCCGGCTGATTCTACCAGGGGCACATAACGATAAACCCCGTATCTAGATTGACCTCTGTACCCCTCTATAGGAAAGCTCATGTCTGCTTCGTGTTCAATCTTATACACCAGCGACACGTTGTCTTTCTCAGCGGTCATGTTCCCTCTGTCATGCTCGTAATCGACCGAAGTGGGTCCGTAGCCATTGAAGCATGGCTTACAGCATCGGCTAGTCGCCCAGTTCAGTATGAATGGAAAAGGTCCCACGTATGAACTCCCTTGACGGCTCATGTATGGAGGGAAGGAATACCAGTTTGTCGTCATTTTTAATGGGCATCTGCAAGTTACTGAAAGAAAATATTTTCAGTCATGACAGGCTACTCTACCAGATTTTTTGGTTTGGAATGAAATTGTAAATAATTTTAACTTTATGTAGATAAGGTATATTTTTTATGTGTAAATTGTGTCCCCAATTAGTTTTTGAAGGTAAATACAATTGACACTTAAATTCAGTCTTTCATTCATTCATTTCATTCATTCCACAAACTCCACACGTGAATAATTATTCGTATATGTCACAGAAGGGCTTTTTTGACTTCGCTACTATTCAAACAGAAAAAAAATGGTGCTTCGACTTTGCGATTAACACTCATAGTTATTTCGTTAGAAAGGAATTCTTTTTTGTTTTCGTTTTGCCTTTTTGCACTTGCTTGTTTTTAATTTTACTCGTTTCTTTTAAACTTACTTTGTAGCCTTAAACTCTTTGATCTGTGTTATGAGGAAGCAAAGCTAACCACAGTCACACAACTTAGAATAGTTTCAAAATCGAGAGTATTTACTGTAACAAGGCGTGTAATGTTATATAGCAAAATCCCTACCCTCAACAATAAACCCTTGAAAGAAGATTTACCAAAAAAAATAGAAAACAAAAACAAAATGCTCAAATGTTGTTGTTTACGGTGGTCAATGCGCTTAGCTACACCTAGCTGGTTCGTAGGCATGCCACTTAAACTGAAAGAAACATAATAGGCTTACGAATCCCAACTGGCGGGAGGCAGACTAGTTGGCTACTTAAAGAGTGACCGAGGAGTTGAACTAGGGTCTACCGAGAAATAACTACAACTTCGTGGTCAGAGCGGGATTTGAACCCACGACCTTCAGATTTCGAGTCCCGCGCCCTAACCACTCGGACACGCTGCCTCCTGAAATCAGTGCCTGATCCCCCGACAAGATTGAAACTGTTTTTTTCTTACACAAACCTGCTGTGATGCTGTGACTGATCGCTCCATCGCCCTTCACAGTGAATGCTGTCACTTTTATTTCATAAACGGCGTAGTTCTGTAGATCACTCAATGTTGTTCTCAACGCTGTTTCGTTTGTTGTCGTATTCACAGTGAGTTTTCTTACATCCTCTCCAGCTATACTTTTTACTGTGTAGAAGATGCGGTATCCCAGAAGAACGCCATGTACAAAGTCTTCTGGGACTGGTTCCCACGATACCGGAATGGAATGCGGTCCGCTCATGTTGACCGCGTGAGGACCCAGGGGTGGCTTACTGGGAACTAAACACATTTAACATTTGAACATTTTAGTGGGTACGAGAGTTTGGGCTGAATAATATCGTCGTTACCGTGAGCTAATATTCTTGAATAAAGCAATAATCCTTGGTTCAATCTACACTAGAACAAGAAGGACAATCCGTTTTTGAATTGCAAACATGTTGCACTTTTTCGTTTGTTGTGTGCAGTAAGCAGCTGAAGTTCTGGAAACATGTCCCTCTCATCTTTTTAGTGAACCATGTAGTGAGCATGTAGCGAGCGTTCCACTAGTCTTTCATATCGGAAGACACATTACAACACTGTCTGATCCATTGATAAACAATATAAGTACAGATTTGTCTAACAAGGATGGCGGGGTGAACATGTAGCTTTTCTTGCTTAGGTCGAAGACAAAACTTTTATTTCACTCCAATAACAGTGGGTGGAGGTGGGCGGGGGGCCTTCCTGAAAACTCGTCATTGATGAAGTCTAAACTTCTTATATTACCTTTCCTCGAACACAATACTGGTACATTTATCCATAGTTCTTAGTTCACAAAAACCTTAACAACGGTCATAAAAACGCACAGAGAAGTTCTTCAATCTTTAAACCTAACATACACAGTGTCGTTAGTTCAGGAGTAAATAATGCTAATAATAGCGTTTTTCTTGTGCCTTATAAGCGGTGGTAGGTTTGCAAGGTATTGTGGTAAAATGAAAAGCCGCCATCTTTTATTC